TATTTTATTCGATACGAAGCAATTTCCTCATCATCATTCAATCCACGATAGTGATGAATTCTCGCATTGTCCATTACAAATATTGGAGTCAAAATTCCTTGCCTTTGACAACTTTCATTAATCTCCTTAATAAATAATTTGAAATCCTCACCATTTACGGCCCTCTCATGAATCTTATAGTATATCATACCATATTTGTTCATTGCTGCGACTACTGAAATATTTCTACTTCGAGCTGCTGTTACAGATAGGTATGCAGATTCACCTCTCATGTTACGACCTCTACTGGGGCGTGTGACTACTGCAAACCCAACTTCATCTAAAAAGACAAAGTTTTTGTCATCGTTATCAACCTCCAACTCACGAAAACTAGTTGCGTAATTGGTTCTTAGCTCAATTGTCGAAAGTGTATTTCTACGCTCAGGCACTAATGTTACACGCTTTAGAGTGTAATGGAACTCCCTTAGTGCGCGATCAATTGTACTAGTTGACACATCAATATTAAATGTACATTTGACCCATTCTGCCAACTCATACAGGGTTTTTGTACATTCCAAATCAACATAGGCTTGTAAGCTCTCTTTTATTTCCAAGCTTAACTTTGAGCGCCTATCACCACCTCTTTTATCGACAAATACCAAGCCAGTTTTTAAATATCGTCTAACGATACTATTAACCGTCTGGTAATTTATTCGATACATCGAGGCAATTGCGGACATAGAATAGCCTTCTAATGTCTTTTCAATTATGCGTTCCCGATCATTAATAGAAACTTTTTGTTTCCTCAGAGTTGGAATGGTGGATAGTGAGAGATTTTCATCATGCGATCCAGATGTTTCTACAAGACACTTCAAAACATTGTCATTTTCGCACTCTATATATTCCGGTGTTTCACCTACATGGAAATCATATTTGTTCTCGTTGGTATTTTTACCTGAAATTTGACATGGGAGTTAATTTTATAATGAATGAATTATTTTTTAAATTTCTATTTTTTTAATTTTTTTATAAAATTTTATTTAATTAAATTCTGGGTTAAAATATTTTTTACCATTTTTACATGTTTTCTTCTACCTCTTTGACCACTTTTGTCTCTTCTTCCAAATCCGACTCTTCATTTATGTTATTGGTCGGTTCCTCTAAAGTGGTTCCTCCTTGTAAAATAAAGGGGGCTTTATATTTTGGTTTAAAATTTTTGGCACCATCTTCCTCTGTTTTCGCTTCTTTTAAAGGGGGTATTGGTTCCTCATGCATCTCTGATCTCATAATAACACCCATTGACGCTCTCTCCCAGCTCTCTTCGGCATTTAGTCCTGACTCAAGTCCTCTTCGTCGATCAAAGGAAATAGTTTCGACTGTCTTCTTAAGTACTATAGACTGAATGTATGCCTCTACATACATGGGTATTTCTAGTCTTTTAAGATGAGCTTTATGGTATTTTGTCACAATACCGTCCCAGGTCATCACATAGGGGATTATCTCAACACTACACCTATAAATAAGACCCAACTCATTGGCTAGCAGGTCATACTTCCTAAGTTTTTCAGTTTCAACTATTTGAAGTGAATCTTGGGAAGTGATTCCTACTTCAATGAGTGTTATCTTATTCTTCTTCTTATCTAAAATAAATATGTCCGGTCTGTTATTCCGAATTTTAACATCAGTTTTAATTCTGGTGTCCACTCTTATCTCTGCATACTCATTATCAAGAATTTCTTGAACTGAGTGGCTCCTTATTCGTTTTGAAGACTTAAACTTATATCTATTTAGAAGAAGAAGGTGTAGGCATCTGACCACTTCATTATGCCGTCTAGTGTAATCATGGCCTAGCATTTTTTCGCATCTAGTAGCTAGATGATCCACAGTCTTACCAGACTTCCCGCAATGTTGACACACACCATCTGCTCCCCAGAATACATTTCTATCCTGGATATAGCAGAACACAGCTTCATTTCGTGGCCTAATATTTCCTCTCTTTAACCACCTTGAAGAGTCACTAACACTCACAAGCTCATTTTTTCTTGCATTATATAACTTTGAATGGAGTTTTCGTTTTTCTATTTCGTTATATAGTTTTGCAAGTTGAGCTTCTTCTAAACTTTTCTTAGTGACTTCTTCTACCAACCTGTACTTTACTTTTAAGAAGCCTTTTATTAGTGCAAGATGGGTTTTATTATTATTCTCCACCTTGAGGATTGCTGCTCGTCTAGTTGATATTTCTTTACTTTTTTCCAGACAATCCAAGAGTTGCAGAAGCATATGTTCGCTTCGCAACTCAACACTATGTAGGCCTCTTCCAAGTTCTGTTCTAGGAAGGTATAAACGCTCTTTACATCCTGGGCGGAGATGTATCTTATTCTTCACCAACACCGCACGCACTGCATCATCTAACTTAGAGAAGTCAGCCGGTTCAAGTCGAAGTACTCCTATGTGGTAGTTGATTAACGATATCGCATGTTGATTGATTGCAGAAAATAAATTTTTTGCATTTAATCTAGTGTGACAAAGTCTTTCAACTCTTGATATAAGTTTGCTCTGTACTTCTTCAAATGAGCTACGTGTTGGGATTCCTCTGCTATCTTCTATTATTCCTAAATATTTGTAAACACTAACACCTTCTAGAAGAGTAGCAGTATCTTCACAACACGTATCATTTGTGGCTGACTTCTCTTTGTTAATCTCTAAGCCAATCACCTCTAAAAATTCCTTTGCCTCGCCTGTCATAGCACTCAATGTGGAGCTGTCTTTTGCAAGGAGCTTAAGATCATCAATAAACAAGAGATGATTAGTAGAATGGGATTCTGCATCTGTTTGTACTGTCACTTTTGTGTATTTTTCATTAAGCTTTCGGCTTAATGGATCCATACACAACACAAATAACAAAGGTGACAGACTATCTCCTTGTAGAATCCCTCTATCAATCTTCTTGCTCATGATTTTTTCAGGCCCTACTGATATATCAATTTTCCATTTTGATATAATTACCTTAATAAATTTCAGGATCCAATCAGGTAAATTAAGGTTTTCAATGCATTGAGTTAAATAAGCATGATCTATTGAATCATAAGCTTTTTTAACATCAATCCATGTTGCCTTAAGATTATTTCCATACTCTTTATTTAAGGCAATATTCAGTAGAGCCTGCTCTTTCGCTCCCTGCACACCTCTTACCGCCCCTAATTGGTTCTCTGCAAGCAACCCTCGCCTTTCCACTTCAAGTTGAACGACTTTCGTTACACACTTTGTCGTTAACTTATAGAGGTTGGACATACAAGTGATTGGCCTGTAGTCAGAGCCTCTTCGTGGAATTCCTTTCGGTATCAAATACGTAAGCCCGCAGTAAAACCAATCAGCTTGAGGTCTTCCTTCTAAACATTTAAATTTCACAATATCATAAAGATATTTGTGTAGAGTTGTAAGTTTCTTAATGAAAAAATTGTAAATACCATCAATTCCAGCAGCTTTCCAATTAGGGAGCCAATTAATGATATTCACAAATTCATCAAGTGAAGGAAACGTGGTCGGATGATTATCTGATACAAATGGAATCAAATAATCATCGTACGTGACTGTGTCATCATTTTTGTTCCACATTGTAGACCAAAAACTCACAATTTCATCACGGCTAACCACATGCTCGGATTCCACACGCTCGGATAACCCACGATAAAATCGACCTCGGAAAAGCTCAAACATACGATTCTCTTTTCGGAATTGCTTCCTACTTTCATGCACCGTAATTTTTTTCTCGTAAACATTCAAAGACTCATTCTTCTTAACTAAAGCCTCAGAAAGATCAGTTACGCTGCTCAAGTTTAAATTAAACTCTCGCATGATTTTCTTAAGGCTCTTCGTTTCCGAAGTGGAGAGCTTTTCCTGCTTACGAGCTTTCTCGAGGAGATCTTTGGAAAGTACTAACTTAGAAATTTTACTTTCTATGTTTTCCTTCCAAGCGGATCTAGGCTTCTCTTTACGTGTTGCCTCGTCATAGCATACCTGCGCAGCTTGCATGATATACGCGGCTTCCGTAATTGACTCAGGTACATGAGCTCCTGCATATTCACCGACTACTCGATTTATGAGATCCAGAACTTTACTATCAACCAATTCATTTGGATGTTTTCTAGTTCGGACCACCACTTTTCCAATTTCGTTCTCAGAGATTTCTTTGATTTTACTCAAGAATTTATCTCTCAGGTTTATGTACTCCGTGGTGTCGGTCAAGGTGCATGTATCAGCGAGACAAGTGGCGATTCTACGTCGCTCTCCATTCTCTTCTGATTTTACATCCTTTCCCATCTCACTTTGTGCCAATTTTTTTAACACTTCGAGAGTTTCAGTGCAGCCGAATTTCTCATTATAGTACCTGTGAAGCTCTGTCCAGCCATTTCTTGGCATTCTTTCAAACCTTGTCTGTACTGCAAAAAAAACAATTCGAGGCCATTCCTTCGGGTCGGCTGTTACGGAATCGAATATCGTCCGCAATGCCATTAGCCTGTTACCTTCCGGAATAGCTAGAGTACAGGGGCTTGTCATGTCGTACGATGGCTCGCACGCAGAGACTTCAACCGAAGAGGGAACTGGTGCATTAGGCGAAGGTAAGGTGTCAAGCCCACTATTTTGCATTTTACTGCATGTTTGGCTTGGTGGTGGAGGTGTTATTGTTGTGTAGGAGGAGGAAGGTAGGGGAATCGCCGGTGGGTGTAGCTTACATTTTTGTATCTCACTATCACTCTTTTTCACCTCATCAGCGTCGTTTGCAGCCTTTATTTTGGTATTTTTCGATATTTCGCTGCTAACATTTTTCTTTCTACCCATTTAATTTTTTTATAAATTTCTATTTTTTTAAAATAATTATTATATTGATTGCAAGGATTATTATATTGATTGCAAGGATTATTATATTGATCGAAAAATTATTATATTGATTGCAAGGATTATTATATTGATCGAAAAACCCTATATAAGAGATTATATTTTTATTTCTTTGTGCTTTATAAGCACTAATGGTCTAGTGGTAGAATTGCCGCTTGCCATGCGGTAGGCCCGGGTTCGATTCCCGGTTAGTGCATTTTGTAAAAAACTTACAAATCATTTTTATTGAAAAATAAAAACAATGTTTCAATTCCTTTATATTTTTGGGTAAGTACTTCAATATGTTACTGGACTGTAATCAAATATAACTCATAAGATATTTAAACATTTTTCAAAGCTTGAATTAAAATAATTTCTAATTCATTGATTAACATAAATATGGATAGAAAGAAAAAGTATAAATCTCAATAGGAAAAAAGAAGCTAAAATTTCATGATAATTTTCTTAGGTTTTTTACAAAGAAAAAAGGAATTCCTTTATTTTATTCTTTATAATTTTTATTTCAAATCAAATTATTACGAATTTAAGATTTATTTATATAAAAACTAATTATCAATTGTATGTTTTCAAATTTAATCTAAAGAAGTATTTAAAACAGAATTTTTTTTTCTAATATTTTTATATTAAAGTTTATAGTTTTACTATAATACTTCATGTTTGCTCTGCTCTTAAAGAGCCGTATCTTTAATATCTATTTTTTTCGATTTTTCTTTATCTTGAGCATTTTAGTTTTAATAACTTGCATTAGGCATTCTCGGATCCTTTTCTACCGCATCTCTGTACCTTTCTAGTGGTTTACATTTTGTTTTTTAGACATTAGGGTTATAAAAATAGATATGTTTTGCCTTTCGGTCATAGGATATTCATATCACATGTCTTAGCTATCTTAATCTTTCTCTTTTTATTTCTGTTACCAAATTTGATACCCGATAAAGATTATAAATTTCTTGATTGGTTTGAACTTTTCGCTTATTGATTTTTGTTTTTTAGACCATATATTCTGAAAATTATCATTCTCTCTTACAGTTCGAAATTATTTCATCTCTTTTTGTCCTGAACCATTGCCCGTATTCATTTATTATAAAAACTCGTATGATTGTTCTAAATTATATTCTTTTTTTGAATTCCTAGTTATTTATGTATTTAATTAAGCCTTGCGTTCGCTTAGTAGATTTTATTTCCTGCTTTCATTCATTCCTTTTATTTCTCATCGCCTTTGATATTTTATTCTATAAAAGTTCATAGATATTTGAGGTTTGATAGCTTTTCGAACTTTATAGAATCGATTTGAAATTCATTTTTTAGGTTTCTCAGCGAAAATGTCATTTTATAAGCTTAGTTTATTTCTTATTAATCTTTCATTCGACTTTTGCTAAATCCGTTGTGATTACATCAAAGAAAGATTTTAATCGTATTCGTTTCTGTGGATTCTACTTAGTCCGTAAATATATTCTATGTATAACGTTTTTCTATTGAAAATAATTTCATTTCCATCAGATTTAAGCTTAGTAATATATTTTTCATTGTAAGTTTAGGAATGGTGTGGAAAGACGATAACCACAGTAAAAACCTCTGGTTTTTAACTATTGCTGAAATTGATCTGAAAATCATGTTGACATTTTAGTGAGATAAAAACCACATTGGATTTATAGACCGATTCTCTACATCCCGAGTAACAAAGGATTAAAATAAGTTGAAAAATTTACAGTTGTTCATTCTCGACACCGAGAGGTAAAAGAGAAATGGAAAAAGTAAGTAGGTTATGTAATATATCCTATAATGCTTTCCCCTGCTCTAAGCCTCCGTTCGTTCTAATTCATTTGTAGTGTCTTTTGCGATCTTTCCCACCATGCCGGGCAAAATGGGTCGGGGTATTCTCTGCTAGTCATAAGAGGCGACTAAAAGGGACTGGTCTTCGGGTTGAGGTGAGGCGTAAGACTAACAACCCGCCCTTTAAAACCACCTTGTTACGAAACCGGAAAAGTAAACAAACATACTTGATAAAAACTAGTAGGCGGTATTACTGAGGGAAGCCAGCGCTGTAGTGCCGAGGATGAAATCGTTTGCTATCAAAACATTTTCTTTCGCAAATGCTAAAGTTTATTATTAGGCGTTAAAAATTATTTTCTTTTAAGAAGATATTCAGGCTGTTAAAACCATTAACAAGACTAAAATATAAATATAGAGTATAAAAAAAATATTTTAAAATTTTATTTTCGTATGTAATTGTAAATTCTTCCACCATGCCGGAAGCAGAATTGGCATGGAATATTCTCTGCTTATCGTAAGAGGCTACTAAAAGAAATTAGCCCTCCGGGTGGGCCTAGGGCTAACAACCTACTCTTTAAAATTAATTTGTTACGAAACTCAAAGAATTAAACGAACTGAGACGGAAAATGAGAAAACTACCAAGCGTAGTTAAACATTAGAAAGAGACCGATATACGGCATTACTGAGGAAGGCGAAGGCTCGCGCAGAGGTGTAGTTCCGGCGATAAATAAATGTAAATTATTAAAGATTAAAATTAAAAAGAAAATCTATCGAAATCAAAGAATCCAAGAAGATAAAATGATTTTATTAAAAAAAAAGTTTTGAAACTTTTCATAAAATAAAAATCTATATTAAAGATTTGTAAAGTTAATTTATACATAAATCTATAGTTTGAAATAATAACTAAAATCTGTAAAAAAAACGTTTTGAAATACAAAAAAAATATTATGTAATTAGAAGAGAGATGAATCATGAATGTATTTTTAAAAAAATATATTAAGAATTTAGTAGAACAATAAAAACAAATATTTACTAAATTTCTATATGCAATATAAAGATTAAACAATATTTTGAAATATTTTCTTTTTTTATTATATTTCTTCTTTTCTCTTTGGATTTTCAAGATTTTTTCCGAATTTAAAAATATTTTTAAAAAAACAAAACTTTTTAGTTTTTCATTTTAAAATAAAAAATTATATTTTTACCGTTATTTATGATGAACTCAGAATCTTTTAAATGGTCAGTATTATTACAAAATATAGACAATATGTCAATAAAAACACTACAATACACACCAATGGGGTATGGATCAATACCAGAAAACAGAAAAATACAAGAATATATAAAAAATGGTGCAATAAATCTAGATAAGCCTTGTAATCCGAGTAGTCACGAAGTAGTAACATGGATAAAAAATATTTTGAATGTCGAAAAAACTGGACATTCTGGTACTTTAGATCCATCAGTAAGTGGCTGTTTAATCGTGTGTATCGATAAGGCCACACGTCTTGTCAAATCACAGCAATCAGATGGAAAAGAGTACGTGTGTGTTATTCAGTTCCACACAGAAACAACCGAAAAAGAATTTAAAAAAGTTTTAAAAAAATTGACCGGAAATTTATTTCAAAGGCCACCGTTAATGTGTGCAGTTAAAAGAAATTTACGACTTAGAAATATTTATAAAACCGAGTTTATAGATTTCGATAAGGAAAATAAAAAAGGACTTTTCAAAGTTTCTTGTGAAGCAGGAACATACATACGTACATTCTGTGTGCATGTTGGACTACTTTTAGGTTGTGGTGCACATATGTTAGAACTAAGAAGAACAAAAAGTGGTCTTTTAAATGAATCTACGTGCGTAACTCTCCACGATTTAAAAGATGCAATGCATGTCTTCAAAAAAACAGGAGAAGAAAAATATATTAGAAAAGTTATTTTTCCATTGGAAAATTTATTAATTAAATATCCTAGAATTTTAGTTAAAGATAGTTGTGTTGGTTCTATCTGTCACGGCGCCCAACTTACTTTACCAGGTGTTTTAAGATTTGATAATAATATTGAAATTGGAACAGATGTTGTTATTATTACTACCAAAGGTGAAGCTGTAGCTCTTGCAATATCAACAATGTCCAGTCCAGAAATACATATAGCAAATCATGGTGTGGTTTGTAAAACAAAAAGAGTTATTATGGATAAATCTACATATCCATCTCTATGGGGTAACAAAGATGATGTTTTTATGCTTTTTAATTAATTAAATTAAAATATTTTTTTCTTATTTTAGTTCGTGTAAATTTTTTATATCTTTGAAAGAAAAATATATTTTATTTATTTATTCTTTAATATTTTAAATTATTTCTTAAATATTTTACTTGATAATAGCTTAGAGGATTAGATAATTTTTCTTTAATATTTTATTTTATTCTTTAATATCTTAAATTATTTCTTAAATATTTTACTTGATAATAGGTTAGAGGATTAAATAATTTATTCATTAATATTTTATTTTACCTGAAAATTTTCATTGAACCATATTTAATTTATTCTGAAATGTTTTTTAAAACTGTGATTAGTTCTATATTCGTAATAATTTTTATTTTAATTTCTTTTTTTTTAGCTATTTTTAAATCCTTTTTATGATTAAATTTCAATTTTCAATCGATGATTTTATAATCTCAGTTACATTAATTGAAAATTCAAAGTTTAATATAACCGACTTCCTGATTTGCTGATTAATAAAATATTTGTGTTTTTTCCTTTTTGTGTGAGATTTATATTTATATTTAAATTTACTTTTCTATGTCTCATCAAAATTAAATTTCGTTTTAAACTATCTTCCCTGATAGAAAGAAAACTATATAATTGTTTTTTTAAGTACTATAGACTGAATATATGCCTCTATTCTTACTGATACCATAATATGTATCAATAAATCTGTAATATTTTGTAACAATACCATCCCAAGTTATTCCACAAGAAATTTTTTTGACTTTTCGTTTTTATGAAGGGGATTAAAAAAAAATTAAATAAATTAATTTTGAAACAAAAAAATATTTGTAAAAATCCGTTGCCCTTAAAATGTTTGAATTAAAAATTACACAAGCAGCTGATGATAAGACTGTAGTTGGTGGTCGAGGAAATTTAGTAAAAAGAGTTTTAGAAAGTCTTGCTGATTTGGTAGATGATGTAGAATTTAAAGTAAGTGACAAAGGTATGTGTATACAAACTATGGATTCTATGCATGTGGCTCTAGCTGATATATTTCTAAGTAGAGATATTTTTGAGAGTTACCGATGTGACCGCAGTCTTACGCTTGGAATCAAATTAAAAGAATTTTTAAAAATTTTACGGAACATAAAAATGGAGAACAATAGTACATTCATGATGTATTGTGATGATGATGCTACCAAACTTATAATTGTCAAT